TTAGCTAGATTTCCAAAACGTCTGTGGTAATAGCACAGGCCGCCTCTGGATGGGGTTCGCTTGTGCCAGTTGTTAGACCGGCTTCGACTACGGGTCGGGCGAGTAGACTGCAGATTGTTGATGGTGATTTGCATAGTGGCCATGACTGAACGAAGGTCAGCCAACTGCTAAGAGAATAACTGCACTTCTGTCGTGGGTTCGTGCAGGGGCTTACCGGGAGCAGGGTTGGGGAGCGACTGATGGACGAATTTCGGCTCCGGGCTCCGAATAGTACCTAAAATACAAACTACGTTGGAAAAACAAAAATGGAAAAATGCAATAGTAAATGATGATAAAACCGCAAACTAGGGGTGAATATAATCTAAAATTACACTCACGTGAGTGTTTCCGTGAAAATAAATACGCGGAAAATTTAGCACAAACGTGACCTAGAGAAATTAAAATTCCTCCGAAAACAACAATTCTCCAACGCAAACAAAATAAAATGAGGGCTCACAAATTTGTAGGAACTAGGTTATCGGTACCCCGGGCTAATACGTATAAGTCGCAAACGTACGTTCGTACGAGGAGTGAACGAGGCGATTCACGAAACGGGGAACAACGTGTATTATAAAGACCTGCAGAGTAAGAGAGAGATACAGAGGCGTGAGCAAGCGTGAGGAAAGTGAAAGCAAACACGTGCTGACCGAAAAGGTGGACTTGGTGTGATAAAACAATGGGATGCACGGAAGAAAAAAGGTACATTGAAAACGAGATGTGATTGGTTACTACACTAAAAACCTGACATGACCTGACCCGAAATGAACGATCTCAGCATAACTCGGTTTTCGCTGCTCACCTTGCAGGTTTTGTACCTTTAGCAAGGCGTGGGTTCGAACACCTTGCGGNCGTAGGGAAGCGTTAAATAAATCGCGGACCGGGTTCTGGATAATGCAACATACAGAACACCCTCGACTATATCAGAAGAGAACAGACACCTGACAAACGCTAATTGTATTGACCAACGACATCCTATTCTACATGTACCATTCCTCCTGTGCATCTCATTGTTTTACCACACCAAGGATACCTCTTTGATCAGCACTTGTTTCCTTCCACTTTCCGCACTCTTGCACACGCTTCCGTATATCCCTCTCGTTATGCGGATCGTAACAGTACAACCCGTCCTCCGTTTCGTGAAACGTCTCGTTCTGTTTCCGTACAAAAGTTCGTTTGCGATATAGACGTATTAGCTCGGGATATCAACAAGGTAGTGCCTACATGCGCGGCACATTTTATTCCCGGTTCTTCACAGGGATCCCATTTTGGCCAAGCCATCTTTTCAGTGACTGTTTTCTCACAGTTCAATTCCGTTTCATTCAACTCCGGTTGAACGGAAGCATCGTTTGGTAACAACGAGGCTGCTACTCCCAGCTTCTTATATCAGCCCTTGGCCTCTTATTTTCGGGAGTTTACGTACATCTCGATGTGGAGACAGGGGTCATAGCTATAATCATATTTACGGCCAAAATCTCCTCTAGTGCCGTTGTTTTCATCCGACCGCTTTTTGTTCGTCTGCTTGTTCGATCCTGGTTTACCCCGGTGATGTTTTGTCTACCGTTTGCCCCTTTACTGCAGGGTAATGGTGTTATAAGTAGTGGGTTCGGTTTTCGAAGCTGATGTATGAAGTTGATTTTCGGCGCTTTCGGCTGTATTTTTCATTTACCGTGTGATGCCCGGGGCTGATGATCTCAACAAAATTTTGAGGGCTACCTCTGCGTGGAGTAGATTCAACGATCTCATCATAACTCGGTTCTCGCTGCTCACCTTGCAGGTTTTGTACCTTTAGCAAGGCGTGGGTTCGAACACCTTGCGGACCGCTATTTATGGGCGCCCCTTTTCCTAGTTGTGACTGATCCACTTTTAGACGAACGTCCACCGGGGATCGCTTAGTCATGCGATTTAGGTTATCTGATACTATTCGGTATCTACCCCTGGTAGCTCGTTCTACCCTTTCGCTAATGCATGGAGGTATATCCTTAATATTGGGATTTCTGAACTCGAATAGAATGGGCCTAGAAACCCTGGCACCGGTGCGCATTCTTCTCTCCATCTCCCAATCTTCTGTACCGTATTTATGAGTGCATACACGGGTGAACCGCAGTTCCAAGGATATCCCGGACACTCCGGCCGTCGATATCCGCCCGGGCCTTACGTCTCTTATGACCGTTTCCTCATGGTTCATAATGAACACGCTTATATTTCGGCCCGTCATCAGTTCTTTCGCGCGTTTCAATTCAGACACTTCGTTCTGGAGGCTAGCAGTCCTCTGCTGTATGCGTTTGATCGATTGTTTCTGGTCGAAATGGGTGTTAGGGTCTTGGTTGGCGGTACTGCTAGGTTGGGGCGCCTTATTAGTGCGCTTTCGATTTGTGTTCTCTGCCATAGCTGCGCAAAGGCAACACATCATCTGAAGCTCTGAATTACTCGCGTATATTTCATACGCTCTTTTGTCTAGGTGGGCACAACCGGGGTGATACCAGTAGCCACAACAGTCGCATTATATGCCACTGGAGACGTTTTACATTTCTGCGCACCGCAGAATTCTGATTTCGACATTCTCCCACGCTTAATGTTATGAAGAAAGTTCGAGGTCCACGATCGAGAACTTAAATTCCACAAAACGTGTGTTATTCTTAGGTTAACCACAAAATTAGACACGTATGCACTTACCGAAACGTTTGTTGGAAAATCTCTCACAATGCATTAAGACCTGTAAAAATCATGTAAACCTGCACTCCGGTTCCGTTCTAGCGAGGAGGATTCGGTGCAATTTGGACGGTAGTCGAGATAGGACATAGGAGAACAGCTGCAGTGTTTCAATCTGAGGCACTACTGTCAGCACGATCGTCTGACGATCCCGAGAAAAGGGGTGGAAGTGGGGACATGAGCGTGTGTACGGTGTGGTGTTTGTCTCTAATTGTAGACTGAATACACAGAATTCGAAGAGTTCATCGTTGCTTGCATTGTGGGTTGTTGTACTACTCGGTCGCCCGGTCCAGAATTGACCCTGTTCGAGGGTGCACTCTAGCCTTTGCGCAACCAAGCGCGGACTGCAAGGCAGCAGCGATACTCCAGATGAGCCAGTGGCCAGTATTTGGTTCATTCGCCTCTTCTGGAAGTTTACCGAACAATAGATTTCGACAAAGGGCGATGACCATATTTAGTGGCGGGCCACACTCGCCACGTACTAGGGCTGTCCACAGACAGGTTTGGTATTTAGTGCAGAAAACTTTTGCTAAGAGGTAGACCCGCTACTTACTCGAGCACCACCACCGATCGTCCGCGACCGCTTATTCGGAGGGCCGAAGCCCACCTTATTCACAGTTAGCCGTGAGGTGACGGCCGTTCCCTTATCCGTGACCTGGGTACGCGCTCGATAGCATACAGCTCTGCTCTGTAGTGACCAAGCAACTCCCATTCTACATGTACCCTTCCTCCTTTGCATCTCATTGTCTTACAACACCAAGGCCACCTCTTTGATCAGCACGTATTCGAAATGTAGTTCTGTAACGTTAGGCACGTTGCCACCATCTTGGATTCAGTGTTAGTCATGTGCATGTCTCACTGGACCTTTTGGTTCATGGTTGGTTTGTATTTTCCGTCTTGCAGGTTGTTTGGAAATCCCCCTTCCACGGAGAACCTGTCGCACGAAGTGTCTCCTACCCATGCATTGAAAGCCTCTGTACTGGACCGCATTTGCGAGTTGGTTCGACACCCCAAACAGTGTTTTGTTAGCGGCATTCTGACAGCGCTATTGACACCACAAACTCGGACCGTGTTGTACGAAATCAACCTCCTGCCGTGTATTACGAATCGGTGGGCTAAGTCCTCCACGTTACAATTCCGTAATTCGCGCAATAACGATCACCGAAATAGAATACTTTCGAATGGCATAGTAAACGGAATTTATTCCAATCGCACTCTCTGTGTATTCAAAGCATTTAAAGTAAACAATAAATTTATCGAGGTCAGTGTCACTTATCACAGATATTTAGGCATAAATGAGATGGAATTTAGATGTGAAGCGACATAATTTTGTGACGTGTTTGCAAAGTGATTTAGTTTGACTGGGAATCAGTACTGCGAGTAGCAGAAAAGTGAAGTACACCAACGAAAACGCATGTGGCGAAAGGTTTTGGTCGACACAAATACACACCTATCAAAGCCTGAATGAAGCTAAGGTCCACTGTTATCACGGCAATCCATCTCATGGAATCTTTCGCAGCTTCATGGTAATGGGATGCTTTCGGTAGTTGCACTGAGATTCTACTCACATTTACTACGTCAGTACCACCTCGACATTCAGTGGCAGAATATTGGTTACTGTACTTTATGCTAAAAGAACACTGAACTGCTTGGCCACCGATGCAGTTTTCACAGCAGCGTGGCACTTCTGTTTTAGATGACGTACTTTGATCTGAGGAAACCAATCTACGCTGTACTGATCTCGTTCGTTCATCAGTTCGGTTAATAGAATCCGAAGAATTAGACTTGCTCCGACTATCTACAATTTCTGTAACGCTGTCCAAATCTTCTACATCATATA